AGATTTTACTAGTAAGTGTGTGTGGTCTGATTTATACATTGAAGACACCCTCCTGGCTGCTGTATTGCTCTGTGGACAATGTTCATGAGGGAGGCAGTAGCAGAAGCAAGGAGATCTGCAGATATAACACAATATATGATGCCTCTGAAGTTTACTACCGTGACCTGGTTCAGACAGTGAAAAATGACTGCTGAGTTTGCCCTCTCTGCCTACACAGGATGCCTGGGGGGCAGGCCTCAGGGTCTTCTCCTATAGAATCCTCCTCTCTTCAAGCAGCCCTGCGTAAAGAGGTGGGCAGCTGGCTTTCAAACCAGACAGGCTGTGTTCAATTCCCGTCGTATCACTTCGGCTCTCTAGCCAGTTTTGTTTTGTGTGTTTTTTTCTCTGAAGTAGAACAAATGAGCCTTCCTCTCAGGAGGTCTGTGGGGTCAGGTGAGACAGCACGGGCAGAGGCACTTGGGAAATGTTAGCTTCCCTTTTCCCTGGAGGTGGCACGTTCCATGGAGGTGGTGGAACAACTAAATGGTCCTCCACAGCCCAGACCCCAGCAGCCGTGTTGAGAAATGACTCTTCCATAAGAAGCATGAAGTAATGTGACTCGGGGGCTGGGAAGGTCATTTCCACTTACTTTATTCAAGCAACAAGAAACGAGAACTCAGAGAGTAAGGGAAAAAACAAGGTCAAGGAAAGCAGGCAGGAAAACGGGCTGCCCAGCTCCATGCCAAACCAAACCTCTGCGTCACACCTCCGAGACAAAGCCTGAGGACAAACATTTGCATAGTTGCAAACTGTTTCAACGTGCATTCCTTTCTGCAGCACGCTCTGGGAATGCGATTTGGATGGTGAGGCAGATTTGGAGAGTTTGGATCCCCATGTAAAGAAAGGGCCAAATGGAAGGTTGGAGTAATAACTTTCACCTGACAGCCAGTGGAGGGGTTTACTTGGGTAAATGGTTTTCTAATTGACAGTTTAAGGCCCTGGCAACGGCAGTAGAAATGGAGTCCAAATCCTTTTGAGGGACTGTAACTCTAAAAGCTGTGTTAATGCGATAGGTTAAATGTACCAAAGCTGAGGCGGCCCAGCGGTGGACCCCTGTGCTGGGGATTGCCTTTTCCTGATTTCACAACTGTTTATTTTGATGGCTTTTCGTGTTGCAAAGCCCCATTGCCTTCCTTTCAACTTTCTGGCCCACCTCTACCCACAGTGCTGGTTCGCTTGAGCTTCTTTCCAACGTTTGCTTCCTCACAAAACCTCTGCTAATCGTGTGGTCAGAGATGCGGGGTGGTAAACTTTGGTTCCCCTGAACAGCCACGTTGTCCAACATCCTCCTTTTCCAGGCATTTTCATAACACACTCACACATCTGTAGTAGTCAATTCATGCTGCGTAACAAACAACCTCAGAAATCTCAGGACGTCGTGGGTCAGTAGGTGGACTATGTTTTGGTCAGCTGAGTGGCTGTGCTGTGGAGTATGGGTTTGCTGGGTTGGCTCCAGGCCCTGGGTTGGGTGTGGGTATGCGCACATGTCCTTGTTCATCCTGAAATAAGCAGCTACTTGGGGCTGGCCCTCAGGGCAGATGGAAGAAGCTCAAGAGGGCAAACTAAGCACACATTTTAAGTCTCTGCTCACATCACTTCCTTTCACATCCCACGGGCCCAGACAAGTCAGTCATATGGCCAAACCTAAAGTCAAGGGGCAGGGAAATACATTCTTCCTTTAGGGAAAAAGGACAGTCACATGGCAAAGGGCATGGACATATAATCCTAACATAGGATGACTGAAAAGTTAGATACCAGTGAGCCAATCTACAACAACCTTCTCCAAGTCCTGGTCTTGTTCCTTGGTCTTGGTTGGCAGTGGGAAGAGGAGATATGGAGAATATGGAGCCCTTATAAAGTATTATGTTCATTTCCTCACCTTCTGTCCCATTTACTTTAATATTTGGAGTTTTTCTTGGTCTGACTAGCCTATGTGTACTAATTAAGTCACGTCAATAACAACTCTAACTTCACTGGTTATGCTCCCATTGGTGTAATATAAGATCCACTTTAAAAACTTCCCCCAATTAAATCTGGAACTCCCCGGGGGTGGTTGACATGTCACAAAGACCCATGTTGTGTCCCGCCCTGGCACCCCCTGGCTGATGTTGATGCTGAGGCAGATTCCTGTCAATCATCCAAAGAAGGGGGCTTCTGCAGCAACAGCAGTATTAGCAGAGCCCCTGTGAAGACTTCCCAGAGCTCTCAAATTCTAAACCTCAGCACCTTAAAGAGGTAATGCATTCCCCTGGTTTCCACTATGAGGCCAGAGAACCAAGGCTACATGTTCCCCTGCCATACCCTGCCACACTGTCTGTCATATTCTGAAGAAGAGCTGCTCACCATCCTCACGCCAAACTAAGTGAAGCAGGTGCCATCAGTGTCCCCTACCGTGTCCCTCAAACCTTTTCCTCCACTCCAGCTAACTTTCAGCTACTAGTATCTGCATCTCCATGACTAGGGGACTCTTTTCAGAATTGGAAAAGCCTATTCTGCCCTCCTGTATGGTAGGCCAGAGGTGCCCTGAAATGAACAAACACCCTCAACCAATGACTCTCAAGCAAGGTTTATTTCTCCTTTCCCTCCATGTGGCATAATCCTGTGGCTTGAGTTTTACATAGTGCCCAGAGTTTTTCTGCAGAATTAAGCCCAAATCATCTACTGTGCTAGTCAGAGTAATATCCTCCTTTTTATTGGCTACCCTTCCTTCCTTATATCACTTCCCTGCTCTTCAATTTGTCTTAATTTCACCCCTTAAATAAACTACCTGCTCCCAAATCTCAGGGTCAGTTTCTGGGAAACCAAACTAAGCCACTGAGTCACTTATAAAGCAATTCTTTCAACTCATGCTTCTACCCTCTCCCTCTCCATAGGGCTAATTTGGAAAACTTCCAATATGCTGTTTCCAGGTACCCTGTCTTCCTATCCCTCTTGCCAGGATAAAGACACCTTCCACATGAAGTGCAAAGAGGCTGGTTGTTACAGACCAGCTAGCCAAACTTGCCCAAGGTAATGCCTGGATCCAGCCATGTGCACGACTCTGGCTAAAATAGACAAATCCACAATACTGCCAATCCACAGTCATCATATTCTATAATGCTTTTTGAGTTACTTATTTGTGCAAAGAATTGTGATAAGTGCTAGGAACACCAGGTTATAGAAGAAATAGTCCACGACTATGAGAAAAGTGTGGTCTGATGGAAGAGTTCTTCTCACTGAGGCAAATGAACCACTCTCTGCACTTTCTTCTTCTTACCCTCCCTATGATATTTTGAGAAGAGACTATATTAACTTTTGTAACTAAAAACAACCCCTAAACTGTTAAATTTTGGTTAACATAGTTGGTTAACTATTTGCTTGTGACCAGAACTGGGCCTTGCACAAGGTATGTTCACAATGACTGTTCATTCCATGGGTGAAGTGCTCACCCTGTACACTGTGCAGACCAGGACCCTGCTAGGAAAATCATTTCACTTTTGAGTGCTCTATGGTTCCACTGCAAAATTATGGCACTGAACACAATGGGCTCTAAGATTCAAACAGCCCATGGATCTGAATAGTCAGACTAAGCATTCTTAAAAGGAGGTTTTATGACATCATTTCTACAACATTTTCTTGGGCCAAAGGGGGTAACTCTTATAGTGCTAAGAGTTGGAAAGTCACTTGGGAGCAGTGTTGAGATTTCCTGTTAGATTGTACTTATTAAATTTGTCTCAAACTCTGATTGTTGGTCAGAATTGTGAAAAGGAAGAAGAAATCCCATGCACAACTCACAAAATATTTATTGGTTGTCTACTATTAGCCTCAAGATGTTCCAGGCACCGAGGCTACCACACTAAACAAATAGACAAATTCTCTGATCTCTCATCTCACAGTTTGCATGAACCAGGTTCTCTTGGCCACATATCAATCCCAACTTAGTCTTTCCCAAGTTGCACAGGATAAATTTGTTGCATGCATACATGTCTATAATCTATCACTTTACCCTATGACCTGGTTAGGGTTCAAAGCTAAGTTTTTAATATTGCCCAAGCATCACCTGAGAACAAGAGAGGGAGAGCCACACCCACAAATTGAGGGTTCAGGGCCTCTTGCTCGGGTGTGAACAGCGCCTGTTCAAAGCAGATCAGGGAAGTGCAGGACTGCGATGCCCATCTACCTGGCTGGTGAGTTCCCGTCACAATGTAAAGAAACATTTATTAAGAAAATGGAGCTAGAGTCCTCACAGATGCTTTGAGGAATTCCGAAGACAAGGCAAATCAGCAAAGAAGGGAATAAGGAGGAGATAGAAGAATGATTAAAATATCAAACGGGAAAACAGTACATTTGAAACCCCAGACCTGGAAACAATTTGAGGTCAGCTGGCAACTGTCAAGAATCAAATAGAGTGAGCCCAGCTGGCATGGCTCAGTGGTTCAGCGTTGACCTATGAACCAGGAGATCACAGTTCCATTCCTATGCATCAGGAGGTCACAGTTGGGTTCCTGGTCAGGGCACGTGCCCGGGTTGTGGGCTTGATCCACAGTGTGGGGTGTGCAGGAGGCAGCCAATCAATGATTCTCATCATTGATGTTTCTATCTCTCTCTCCCTCTCTGAAATCAGTGAAAATATATGTATTTTTAAAATCAATAGAGTGAACAAAGATGGCTGCAGAGTAGCTCAAACCTCTGGCCACTTGCTCCCAGCACCTGACGATCTGCGGCTGAACTACAGGGCCACCGGCTTGAAAAACCAGTTGATGGGAAGTTGATCTGAAATACTGTGAACAGGGAATGCAGAGGAAAGACAGAAGGAGAGGCAATGAGGGTGAGCCAACTTGTGCAGCTGGGAAGCCAGAGAGAGATTGTGGCAGCGGAGTCCCCGCCTACCCCTACGGTCTCAGCTCCTTGAGGGATCCCCAATTCAGAAAAACAGAGAAGAGAAGGGGAACCTGTGTAATGTCTGGCATGGGAAGCAGTAGAAAACCTGACCCATATAAATGCTGTCTACAAGACACCCACTTCAGAACAAAAGAGTCACAGATTAAAAATGAAAGGTTGGAAAAAAATATCCCATGCAAATGGAAACAACAACAACAAAATCTGGGGTGGCAATACTTATATCTGACAAAATAGACTTCAAAAAAGGCCATAAAAAGATAATAAGGTCATCACATAATACTAAAGGGACCAATCCAACAAGAGGATGTAACCCTGGTAAACATATATGCACCCAATATTGTAGCATCTAAATATATTTTAAAACTCTTGGATGGCTTTAAAAGAGAGATCAACAGCAACACAGTCATAGTAGGTGGTTTTAACACCCACTAATATCACTGGACAAATCTTCCAGACAAAAAATCAACATGGAAACAGAGACTCTAAATGATACACTATATCAGATGAATTTAATCGGTATTCACAGAACATTTCATCACAAAGCTGTAGAATATACATTCTTATAAAGTGCACATGGAACATTCTCAAAAATAAACTATATTTGAGGACACAAAATAAGTCTTAACAGAGATTAATGGGGGTGGCGGGGAGAACCTATGTAATAGTTTCAACAATAAAGATAAAAATCATAATAAATAAATAAACACAAAGCTTAAAAAATAAACCTTAACAAATTCAAAAAGATAGAAATCATATCAAGCATCTTCTTGGGTAACAATGGCATAAAACTAAAAATAAATTACAATAAGAAAACTCAAAAACATTCTAACACATGGAAGCTAAATAGTATTTTAGCAAACAATGAATGGGTTACCAATGAGATCAAGGAAGAAATAAAAAAAAACTTCCTGGAAACAAATGAAAATGAACACACAACAACCCCAAATCTATGGGACACAGCAAAAGTAGCCCTGGGAGAGAAGTTCATACATTACAGGCCTACCTCAAGAAACAAGAAAAATCTCTAATAAACTATCTAAACCTACAACAAAAAGAATTAGAAAGAGAACAACAAGAAAAGCCGAGTATGTAGAAGGAAGGAAATAATAAAGATAAGGGAAATTAAATGACATAGATATTAAAAAAACAAAAACAAAGATCAATGATACCAAGAGCTCGTTCTTATAAAAGATAAACAAGATTGATGAACCTTTAGCCAGACTCATCAAGAAACAGAGAGGGAGGACCCAAATAAGTAAAATCAGAAACAAAAGAAGGTGAAGTAACAATTGGCATCACATAAATAGAAAGGATGAAGAACTATATGTCAACAAATTGGACAACCTAGGTGAAATGGACAAATTCCTCAAAACATACAATCTTCCAACCCTTAATCAGGAGGAATCAGAAAACCTGAGTAGGCCAATAACAACTAATGAAATTGAAACAGTAATAAAAGCAAAATCCTCCCAGCAAACGAAAGTCCTGGACCACATGGCTTCAAGGTGAATTTTACCAACTTTCAAAGACGAACTAATACCTATCCTCCTCAAACTATTCCAAATAATTCAAGAGAAAGGAAGCCTTCCCAGCTCTTTTTAAGGCCAGCGTTATCCTAATTCCAAACCTGACAAAGACACTGACACAAAAGAAAATTATAGGCAATAACCCTGATGAACGTAGATGCTAAAATTCTCAATAAAATATTAGCAACAATAAAAAAGAATATAAGAAAGATGTAATTTTTAATAACCCAGAAGCAAAGTATGCTATGAGCATGCTAGTAATCGGGGCAGGGATGAAAAGAAATGAGGGGAGATGTGGTGTGTTAGAAGACTCACCTTCTCAGTACACTGCTGTGTCCCAGCCTTACTGCAGCACTTCTACTACAGAGCTAGTTCAAAACCTAGAGTACCCAGGAGTCCTCCTCGTGTCATCAATTCAAGCAGGGAAGTTTCTGCCACCCTCTTCTTCCCCAAAGAAATTGGGCCATTAAATACTTTGGAAAAGCCATAGGTTGTTAAAGAAATACATGTTTACCTATATATTTATTTATGCGCTAAGTTGATAGCTTTAAATACAGGGTGTGGCAAAAGTGGGTTTACAGCTGTGAGTACACAAAACAATCTATTCTTGTATTATTTTAAAAATTATTATAATATTTTCCATATGAACAACTGTAAACTGTAAACCTACTTTTGCCCCATCCTATATTGAAAACCTTCCAGGGCACCACAAATGTAGCTTAAGCAAGGATTTTCACATTTGGCAAGTTTTATAAACCTCCCTCAGATAGCAGTGTGCAGCCAAATTGGAAAACATCTCTTTATAGGACTTAAGTCGGCATTGCAGTGGAAACACCAAACCAAACAAGCAAGCGAGCAAAATGGGCCCCAATATCCAATAAGTTATAAGTTGGATTAAGTTTTCCTTTAACTCAGCAGATGTCAGTATCTTAAGTTCATTGGTCATTACAGAGACAAGGATTACAGGGCACATCTCTGGCACCATTTTGAAGTTTTCCTTCTAACAAGGCTTCTGGCTCACACAGAACTCTCAGGTTGCTTGCTTCTGAATCCCTCTGATCTTCAAAACTGGATCAATTTCATCCTGGCCCTGCTAGTTTGACTGACTTCAGGATCCTGGCCGAGCATCCGGCCAGCCTTAATGCCCGTCTCATTTGACCTTGGAGTACAAATAATTGTTCCCTGCTTTGTTTCCCTGTCGCTGAAGGTTATTAGAGGTGAAAGCGAACTTAGAGATCTCCTCTCCCAGCAACGTCACTTTACAGCTGAGGAAACTGAGATGGGAAAGGACTTCCTTGAATCCTCTTTTTCTAGCAGGCAAGCCTAGCAAAGCCCACCCAGGGGACTAAGCCGTGCGACCCCTCCCTGCACCCATCCAGCAGAAGGAACCTCCCAGTTCCCTCTACTTCACATCCCACTTGTCTCTTCATGAGTCTGAAGCAATTCGAATAAGCCTCCCCGTGCCCTGTCACAGACTGGAGCACATTAAGGGCAGGAAATTAGGCAGGGCATGTTTGTAGATCCGGTGCCGATTACTTTTCCACTCAGATGTTACATCAACCAATACGGAATGGATTTATCTCTAATTTATTAAAGGTCAGTCAGCATGGATTGATAAAGGGAAGGCCATGTCTGATAAATTCACCTAAATTGAATTCTTGGGCCACATTACTAAATCAGCAGACATAATTTATCTGGCTTTCAGGAAAGCATTTAGTGCTGTATACCATATAACAGATGCATTTACTAAGGCCAAGCATTGTGTGACGGTTAAGTGTCAGGTGGCAGTTCTGGAAACAGGTTTAAAATGGCCCAGAACCCAACACTGGGTGCGCCAACAGGAGACACTTAAAAGTACAGACAGAGGGGTCAGTCTGGGGGTCATTATTTCAAAGTCCTTGACCCTAATTATAATTTAATTTCCACAATGGTCATATCTCTTGAGAGCAAAGTTGGAATGACGGAGACAGTTTTAAAAGGAACAGACTGAAAACAAGTTCTGAATTTCTTTTTTCAATCAGGCTGGCTCGGCAAGGGATGAATGAGTTATTCTTCTACCAAATGAACACAAATAAACAAAAGGACAAAGGAAGCCACAGACTTCTGTCCAACATAGAAATGCCGTGAATAACTGAACAGGGCAGCCATGAGAGACAGTGGGTTTCGCTAATACCCCAAACTCAGAATGTCTGAGTTGATACCATGAGAAGCTAAAGAAATGGAACTTAGGGTTCTTGAGATATAAATAGACTCAAATAATTATGTAACTAGGAGCTACTAATACCCTTGTTATGGCCTCAAAAGGCAGGAGCTCCCAACTCTGGTTTGAATTTACCTCTTCTTAAAGTCAAGATTTATGCATCAGTCTAACATCTTTATCCAGACAATGTGGAATGGATTTCTCTCTAATTCATTAAAGGTCAGTCAGCATGGATTGATAAAGGGAAACCCATGTCTGATACATTTGCTTAAATTGAATATTTCCTCTGGGCTACTGCAAAGGTGACCTGAGGTGATCGTCATCAAGAATTCGCCCAGGCAGTCTTAGACGAAGAACTCTGCCTAACTTACTTACCAACCCCTTGGGAATCCAAGAAGGGAGCAGCAGCTGAATGCAGGCTCGTTCTCCTATTCAGAAACAAGCTATGCTATTTGGGTTTGGCCTCAATAACTAGTTTCCAGGTCTGCCCCAGGTTGAAGGTGAGGGTGTCTCTACAAATGCTGAGTACCTCAGCTGCACTGAGCATGTGCAGACTTGCACGCATTTGTTCAGTCTCCATGCCTCCCTCTCCCTCTTCACTCTGGATACCTATCAAAGCCAACTGGGCACCAGAACTATCTCTGGCTGCCACTTAACTTCTCTCTGGGGCTCTCTTCTTGCTTGACACCACATAGTGTGTGATGGTTAGTTGTATGTGTCAAGTTGGAAGGTGTTTTTGGATAAGATTAACATTTAAATTGGTGACATTTAAGTGAGCAGATTGTCCTCCATTATGTAGGTGGAGCTTATCCCAGCAGGTGAAGGCCTGAATAGAAAAAGTTCAGCTTCCCCTGGCACGAGGGAATTCTCCAATGGCCCCCTTAGGAAGCCATCTGCTCCTTTGGCTCTCCTGGGTCTCCAGTTGCTGACCTACACTGCATATGTGGACTTTCCAGTCTCTAATCACATGAGACAATTGCTTATAATCAACCTCCTATACCTATCTGTATCTATATCTATACATCTGATTGGTTCTGTGTCTCTGGAGAACCCTAATATACAGCGGTATCAATAGTTATACTAACATCTAGATTTCTGGAGCTTACAACTGCAGGTGATATCTCAGCTTCCACTTTAATTCTCCATTTCTAGGAAACTCTGCATTAAAAATGCAGGCATGGAAGAGTAATGATCCAAGTGTTCATAGCAGCGACTTGATTAAAGACCTATTCCAAGGAGTAAGGGACACTTTGGGAGCATGGAGCAGGAGATTCCATGAACTGAGGGGCTGCAGTAGAATCGTGACACTATCTGTTTTTGCAGGCTTCTTCTATCATGTATTTGATCTCATGAAATTTGGCAGCTGAAGCAAGACGCAAGGAAAAATAAAGGTAATTAACTCCAACACATTTTCCCCTCCTTAATGTGAGCCTCTAATTGAGTTAGAATGGTGCTAATGCAAGTTTTCTTGGCCTCTCAAGGGAAAAACTCATTGTGTTTCAATGGAACTTTTAACCACAGGCTCACAGACATTATGTATGAGGTTCATTCTTTTACATAGCCATCCAATTAAATAGCATATATTAAAAATCAAAAGCCCTAGGCTCAAGGCATTTTATAATCTATTTGACTATAAATATGTGTGAAAGTTTACAAAGCATTTTTTTCTAAGTTTAGAAAAATGGTTTAGACTATCACAAAGTCCGAAAAAAAAAAAATCTAACAATACCCACCTGTGCATTAATAATCTATGAACTGCCTAGGTGCATACAGTGTTGGCAGAGCAAGCCATGGACTTCATTGAGCCCATGAACTATGAAAATGGTTGTGTGAAAGCAGGTGGGCAGGCTTGTAGGGGTGGTGCCAGCACAGAGTGGACTGAGCCCATGGAGAGGAGAGTAACTGGATCCATGAGTATTTATGACAACCCCAGTACCAAATATAGTGTGTGGCTCTTCATAGGTACTCAATAAACACGCATGAAATGAATGAATGCATGAAGGTAATCATTGAGATGAGGATAAACAAATGCATAAAAGATATATTTTAAGCTAAAGGGAAGGTGGGGCACTGTCTCTAAAGGGTGAAGCGAAGTTGCACTGCCACCTGGCTGTGTGTAACCCCTTTCTTCACACACTGCGTGTTGCCTCGGACAAGAGTAACAAATAGGATCCAAATTGTCAATTGCCATTAAGTATTGAGTTGAATGACAGAGTAAACCTCAAACTAATCAATCCCTATTACATACAGGAAACGGGGGGCGGGGGGTAATCTAGGAAGACCTCCTGAAGTAGGTCAATGATATGCTGAAATCTTTCTTCTTCAGAATTTTACAAATGAAATCTTATTGATAGGGTTTAATATATATTAAGATATGTAGTATATATTGTATACACATATACTGTGTGTAGTATATACATTGTACACTATATAATATATATATATATAGATA